AGGTAATCGACTACGCTGAGCATAGTAGCAACATTTGTTTTTGTGTAGAAATGAATATAACTTCGCCAGAGGCATTGTTGTGAAAAATCGGTTTTTCGCCTGTTACTAGCAAAAATTAAAATCCTTACATCTCGATCAAATCTCATGCTGACTCAAGGAAATTTTCAGGAAAGGCTTAAAAGGTGCCATATGTTGTTGACCACGCCGAAAACTCACTTAAGTTTAGATGATAGGGCAAATTATATTTCTTCATGATAAAAACTTTATTCACAGAGATATTAAACCGGAGAATTTTCTTCTAGGTAGTGAGAGACATCGTACGTAATAAAGTAGTACACTATAAAATTAGTTGCATAATACCAGCTACTATTGCGGGAAAAGTTCTATTACTACAATAGCTTGCTAATCACCAGTATATTGTGCTTGACATTTTTTGCAGGTAATTAAGTAAAATAAATTTATGGGTATGGGATGTTGTATGTTTTATTTGTGGATGTTGATAAGAACCAGGAACTATGAGTTAAATGTAAACATGTCACACAGATTGGATCGTAATATTTACTGCAGCCGGTTGTAGGTGGTGGATCCGGAGTTGGTGTGATTAATCTAAACGACGGTGGATATTTTGATCTTGTTAGTAATCGACCTAAATTTGGTGAACACGTATAGACGAGACGGTGATTTGTTAATAGTTCTGAAGAAAATTGTTCGCCCAAAAACTGCTTGATTGATGGTAGTTGTTGATGATATGGGACAATAATATTGTAATAACTGTTATTGTTGTTATTTTGCTTTTCTTGTCAACGTGGTAGCATAATTAAATCGAGACGATTTTTGAATTTACATTGTAAAATTTTGCTCAATACGTTCGGGGGGGTCGTGGTTACGATTGACGAGACGTAGGAATAGATTATACAGTTCATACCATTTATTAGTATTCGATGAGCAGATGCGAATAATTCTGTTTGATAGACTATAGGCGATGTTATTGATAATGTATCGAGGGTGCGATGATGAATATTCCAGGTATTGGAACGTGTTTGACGATTTGATAAATAACGATGTTTCAATGCGGTTAAGTGTATGATTAATAATGATATTAACGTCTAAAAAATGGATATTTGTTTGACTAGTGTCAAATGTATATTTCAAATTGTTGTTATGGTTTAGTAGTGTTAACAGTTCATCGACTTGACTTGCTGATTGACAGAAAACGAATGCTAAGACGTCATCAATAAAACGAAAATGACGGATATTTTTTAATATAGTTAAATAAAGGATGGATCTCATTGTTGAAAACATAAATGTTGGCGTACGGTGGGACAAATGCTGTACCCATTGCAGTACCTTTGATCTGTTTAAAGAAATATCCTTTAAATTTGAAGAAATTGTTGTTTAACACCAATTGTATTAGCGTTTGAATTGTATTGGATGATAAATCGAAATTTGACTGGTAGCTCTTTCTTCTTCTTCTCTCTCTCTCTCTCTCTTTCGTTCTCTGTATACTGCGTTTATATAATGAATGAAAGAATATACAGCGCCTCTTGCTCTTGGGCGGCGTGAATTAGAGGTTGGTTTGAATAAAAGACCCTTCGATGCTAAAGAAATGTATCTCAAGAAGTCGTTCAGATGTCATAAAACCGTTACAGTGTAGTCATACAAATCCTCAAAATTTTAATATTACATTTCGCGTAGTTGGCACAAACCCTCAGATTTATGGAAATTATACGGCATGGCCAGATAAAATTCAGTGACGAAATGTTGACATTTTGCAATGCCGATATCTTTTTAACGAAAGCACATGAACAGATGTAGAATATCTAGAATTATAAAGCAAACGTTTCTCTACAAAATGACGCGTCTTAGGTTCTGTAAGTTTCTTTGTTTAAAAAATATTCGACTTACAGTCAATGAACTGAATATTCATGTCATTCACGTTATTTATACTTATACACTGTAAGGTTGGAAATTATTTATGGAAAATGCTCGGCGAATTTCAAAGAGTACATATGGGAATTCCGTGGGGATTTTCCAGTTTATAGAAAATCGAATTTCCAACAATCTAGAAAATCGCC